GGGCATTACCATTTGTAAATAGGGCAAAAACCAACATTTAGTTCATTACTTTATAAAATTGATAAGTTTTAACTCTTTATTTTATAATATTAAATTTGTTAATTTTTTACCTTACAAATTTGATAAGTTTTAACATCTCACCTTATAAAATTAATAAATTTTAACTCCTTATCTTATATTATAACATTTTTAACCCCTCACATATACGAATTGAAAAAAAATAACTCCCACCTAATATTAAGTCATAACATTCGATTAGTTTTATTAATTTATTGTTAACATCCGTTAGCATTTCATTATACAAACACATGAAATTTAAATTCAATTTTATTTGTTAGTTCCATTAACGGAATGCTATGGATACTAATAGTAAGCTAACATAACTACCAGTTAGCTAACAGAATTAACAGTCAACTAACAAAATTGACAAAATATTATAATTTGATGTTAACTGAGAGCTATTTTCTTCAATCCGTATAAATAAAGGGCTAAAAATGTCTAATATAAGGTAAAGGGTTAAAACTTATTAATTTTGTAAAGTGAGGGATTAAACCTACCATCTTTGTAATATAAAGGGTTAAAAGTGTCATATTATAAGATTAAGGATTAAAACCTATCAATTTTGTAAGGTGAGGGGCTCAAAGTTGGTTTTAGCCTTGTAATAGGCCCGTTCTTAAAAGGTTAAATGCTAAATTTGGTCCCTCAACTTTAAGAAATGCACATTTTTGATCCTTCAACAATTTTTTGCACTTTTTTGATCCCTCAACTACAAGAAATGCACTCCGTTAGTCCTTCTGTCAATTTAGACCGTTATCTCCGCCACGTGGCATTTTTTATGTTTTTTTTTATGACATGGCATAAACAACATTAAAAAGTGCTGATTTGGAATTTTTTGGGTGATGTGTTGGATGCCAACTCATAAATTAAATTTGTTTAGGATTTATATTTTTAAAATATGCATTTCTTTTTTTGGATGACGTGTTCAACTCATCTTTTCCCTTTCTATTTTTTTTTTCTTCTTCCTTCCTCTTCTTTCCTCCTCTTCTTCCTCTTCTTCCTCTGCTGGATCCCATCT